ATCAATACTCCATTCACCTTGATTCCCATCTCTGCATCCTCCAAAGACTCTTGAAATATGGCTTCCGAATAAATGTTAAATAAAAGAGGGGAAAGCACACATCCCTGTCGAACCTCTTCTTATATGTATGGGTTTGGATATAGATTTGTCTATTTTTAACTGTGCCGTTTGATGCCAGTACAAGTTTTCAATGCATCTTATGTCTTTTTGGTCTATATCAACTTTCTTGAGAATCTGCATTAACTTGTGGTGTTGGACACGATCAAACGCTTTTTGGTAATCTAGGTCAGATAATTATTCGAATAAAATAAAGAAAAAAACATACTTGGAAAGAGGTTACCCACAGTTTTATTTCGGAAGATGTCTTTTACTAGATGATTCTAGAGACATCATTATACCATTGTACGTCCAAAACTCGACTAAATTTGACAACACCGACTACAATGGCAAAACCACTGTTAAACTGCCTAATGTGTTTTAAGCCGCGCGGCAGCCGACGAGGTGCAGACGCGGCTCAAACCGCCCAGTCTGTGTGTAACCTTAATCGGAACGTTCTCTAGACTTTAACCGAATATTCTAAACTATTCTATTTCATCGTTTATGTAAATTACAATTTTTTTCGGCAAATTCTCACCTATATTCATCGTTATCATTTCATATATTTTTAAGCTTTCAATACTTCTTTCTATAAACTTTCTTTCGTGGATCAAGTCATAAATCAACACTCAATCGGTGATCAGTATAAAAATAATTGATTTGTTTCTGTTTTGGAAACGTTTTTAATGGCGTCTCACTTTGCTTCAAATATAATTCTTGGAGAATGCCACAAAATTGATAAAATAATAAAAAAAATTTTTTTTTTGAATTTTTTAAATAACAAGTGTTCCATTTTGACCTGACAAAAACACGTCCAGACACAGAGTTTACTACTACCATAGCCGAACTTAAAACCCATTAAACGGTAAAGTCATAAAGTTTGACGGCTACAACCTCCCTCCACCCCCCACTAATGTATAGAACAACACTAATCTGAAGCCTGCTAGTCATATTTTATCGGTATGCATAGTTAGTTTTCTTTTTAAAGATGCTAAAACCCCGGTCAGGCCATCAGTACATGAAATATCCAAAGGGGCAGGTCAGAATTAAAGCATAATATTCTACAACCATATCGATCCAGGGCCGAACTGCGCAAAGATTTAATAAAATTGACAAATACGATAAAATTATTGTGGTGCCATATTTGGTAAATCTACTATCTTTTGTGGCGCTTGGTATTAACATTATATTTTGGAATTTACTTAATCTGAATATAACTGAGTATACAAGAACATTTGTCAAGCAAAAATAAACATTAAAAGAAAAAGCTTTATTATCATACATTTAATTTCGAGTCATTCAGTTTGAATGTATATATCCTAACGAAAAAAATGGTAATTTAAAATTATCCACTAGAACAAAAGAGTCACTTCAATTACCTAGGAAAATTCTGACGATAATGGATTTATATGAAAGTAAATATGATGGGAGGAAATCTAGAGAGTAAGAGATGGGCGTAATAAGATATAGATATAGGTATATAGATTAAATAGAACAGAGAATAAAATGCAATTTCCAATATACTCCACTTAAAAATGTTACAGCATAAAAAATCAATGACTTTTTCCACAACAAAACAAGATAACAGTGCAAAGAAATGATAATTTGATTCGAGAGTCGGAATGACTGTTCTTTGTAAAGAGTAGGGGGTGAAAGATAGCCAAAAGTCTAACAGCAGAATCAAAAGTAGTCTCCAATACACTCTAAAAAATAGGGGACTGGATAAGAACCCACGACAGACTTCTTTCACATCAAAAGAAAGTGGCTATACAAGGTATTCATAAGCTGCTTAACTTAACCAGAATATACATTTGTATACCTGTTATTTCCATAAATTAGAAACGGAAAACAAGTGCAAACCAAAAAAGAAAACGTACAGAAGCTGGTACGAAGCTCTTCCTCGTTTTTTCATACCAAAACATTATCTACTCACTACTTAGTTAAAACGATATTTTGCTAAGAACTTTTCTTTGTCAACCACCATATTTCGTTTCTGTATCCCAAAATAGACAAGTATACATACCTCGGAGCAATTATAAACTCACAGTGAGATCAAATCTCGTTCGACCATCTCTTACCACTGAAAAGATGGGCGGGAGCGTCCACACTTCATAGACAGCGCAGTTCGCCGAAGCTTTACCTATCCTGTTTGTGTCACCACGGTAAGATCAGGAATTAACTCCTTCGTCCGCCTAGCCTTTTTGCTATCACTCGCCCATTCCCTCTACAGTTCTTCTATCTTCCTCTCTCGCTCCTCTCTCTCTCTCACACACACACATTTGAGGCCGTCCTGTAGACGCTTGATATCCTAAGGAGCATTTTCCAGGGAGTTTGGCATACTTCACGATACCCTTCTTCTTCTTCTTCTTAGGGTGCCTGTCCGTTCCGAACGTTGGCGATCATTCTGGCTATGATGATTTTGTTGGTTGCTATACGAAATAGCTGAGTTGAGGTCTTTCTATACCATGCTCTCAGGTTAGCAAGCCAGGATATTCTTCTTCGTCCTGGGGCTCTTTTTCCTTCAATTTTACCCCACAAAATGTATTGGAGTAGCTCGCATCTGCCTTGATTTCTCATTATATGTCTCAAGGGTTGAGTTTACCGAAAGTACAAGCTGAAGATAGCCGCAAATGTCAAAAATATTTGGGTTTGGCAGTGTTGGCATATTTTTATAATGCATATGTTTTATGCTTCAAATATAAAGAGATAATGTTTTTAAAAAGTACATTTTGATTATACTATTTTATGAATTCCGCAATTTTTAATTTATATGAAGCAATGACTAATAAATATTTGCCTCTTTCGAGATTAATTGCAAACATCTAGCAACTGCTGATTTGACGATTGCCAAATCTATTCCTTAATCTATCAAAGGGTAACTGCCAAAAAAAAATTGTCATAATTAACTGCAATTAACCTTCGAAGAAACAAATATTTACTCATTATTGTTTTATATAAATCAAAAATTGCAGAATTTATAACATAATATAAACAAAATTTACTTTTCTAAAACTTTGTTTTTTTATATTTGAAGCATACAGCATCTACATTATAAGAACATGCCAACAATGCGGTACCAAAATTGTTTGTTCCATGTTTGACATTTGCGGCCATTATCAGCTTGTACTTTCAGTAAACTCAACCTGTCCCAAGTACTCCAGCTTACGGCTTTTTACGATGTTGACCAAATCCGCGGTTGTGTTCATCCTCCGCAGTACTTCTTCATTGGTGACTCTGTCCATGGTATCTTCATGATTCTTCTGTATAACCATGGCTCAAAAGCCTGAAGTTTTGATAGAGTTTCCGCCTTCAATGTCCACGTTTCTACTCCATACAGGAGCACTGAGTACACGTAACATTTAAGGAGCTTTATTTTTGCTTTCGGGGTGACGTCATTTTGTTTTCACGAGTCATTGATTGTAGTTCCCAAATAATTGTATTGTGAGACACATTTAATTCTCATTTGGTTCACAAATACGGTTTCACGATACCCAACGCACCGAATCACACCGGGGCAGCACAGGACACCACCGACTGGAAGACTCCATTTAGCACCCTTCTTTTGGTGCTACCTGTATCGCCAATGTTCTTCATTAGCCGTACCATCGCCTTCACACTTGGGTTCGCCTTTTCCAAAATCTTTTGGACGTGTACTCCGAACCTAAGCCCTTTTGACAACCAGGCTGCGAGATACTTCACGGATTTTGCCGGTTCAACCTCCAAGCCTTCCACTGTAAAGAATGAACGAATTTGTCCTGGCTTCCCTTGAGAATTACCACCTCAGTTTTCTGAGGTGCTAGCTGTAGACCATTTCCTCTAATCCGCCTAATAATACGGCACGTGGCTGTTTTGGATGTATTGGCCATGTCCAATATTGCAATACTCGCAAATTGGCGAGTCTTCTGACTCGTTTTTAAAACCGTGACATCATCACAGTGCTAAGAAGGTTGGCGTGAATTTCACGTAGTGATATAATAAGAAGTAAAAAAACAATAGGATATAATCTTCAATCATTGGGGATATAGAAAGGCATCAACTGTTTTGGTAGATTTGGTATGGTCATTTAAAAATAATGCGCACTGGCAGGTTGCCAAGTAAAAATTTTGCTGAGCACCAGACACCTAAAAGAAAATAACTACAACAACAAAAGAGAAATTAAACTAGGAATTGAGCTATAAAAACGATATATATCTTAAAAGGTATAAATATTCATATTTCCTATTGCCTAGCAGATAATGTACTTCCATTCATTCTTGTTTTTGTTCCATTTTGTGATACCAATTAACCTTCTGTTTTTGGTTTCTTTTATATCTCGTCTCAGGTCGATTCCTTCTCTATTCCTTCCTAAATATGTTTTTGTGCTGTAAAACTTTGAATATACATTTAACGAAATATAATTCTAAAATTGCCATATTTTTTAGTTTTTACCATTTTACTAATTAATCCTAATAGAGTAACAGTCCGCCTCTGCGTATAAGCGACCATGCTCGTCAAAACGTCACAGGGAACCCATAAAATTCTTTCGGCCCTCCCGATAGTCACAGCCTAACCAAACTTTTATTGGTTCCCTGCTTGAATCGGGCTGGTCTTTCTGAGAAGTCACATTCGTGCTTTTTCTAACAACAACGTGGTGTCAGATTATTTTTAATAGTTTTAGTTGTTTACACGGAGTCGCTTGGCAATGTGCTGGAGCGCGCATGTTGCTGAAACTTTTTCAGTCAGCTTATCATAGCTGACTGGGATGTTTTTGTCAATTGAACAGTAAACTGATAATACAGAAAATACTACCGATAGTTAATAATCAACCGTTCTGATCAGTATTTTACTGTAGTGCGTGTCTTTTCGGCATCATTACGTATCACATAGTTGTCTGGATTATGATTTTCCGGTAATACTTGTAGATAATGAAAACGTGTAGTTCCAGCAGTGTTCAAGGTGTCTTTAGAGTGAAATATAAAACCCCTTTGAAGGTTAAAACTCTGAAAGAATATAAAACTAGTTTGGAAAGAAGAAAGAAAAATACGGATACTAACCACTCTGAATTACATGCAAAACCCACGTAAGACTCATATTTTTTTTAACCAGTTGGCATGTAGTAGGTATTTATATTCTGTAAATTATGATGGGGTATATGGGTATATATATGGTAAATTACGAAACCAGTCTCCCCCTTGTTAGCGACAATAAAAAATTAATTTGTGGACTACTGTCGGTTGTCTTTTCATCATTATTGTTCTTAATTTATCGCCTGTTTTATCTTCATAGAAACTCTTAGTTGTCCTCGTGTATTACTGACGACATTTTGTTCTTTTTTTGAGCTTTTTAGTTTTAATATTACAATCCTGAAATGCAACTGTGATAATGGATAAATGTTAAAAAAAAAACAAATTAAAAATCTAATAACAAACGGGTCTTATAACAAATTAACAAAGGATCCATTGAAGACTTTGTATTATACAATAGGATATAGAAATTTATTCAGGTTTTAAGGTTATTTAACTTATTATCAAAAAAAAATTACTTCACCTTATAACATCAACAAACCTCATTTTTATGGATTAACGAAAGTTCAGCGAATACATCACTTAGACCTATTTGTAGTACACATACCATCGTGTAATTTTATCTATGATACCATCTTTATAGTGAACTGTCAAATTTTTTAATAATTATTATACAACGATTTACAAATAATAATGACACATTTATAAAGAATACACAACATTTTGAACATTTTAAATAAATGATCAAATATTGAATTTAATTCAAACAACATTTTAGTAAATTTTGACGTAAATAGTTATATACAAATGTGCCATTAGATAAAACTTTAAAAATAATAAAAATAAAATTAAAGAATGGTGATATACTGACAAGACTAAATGTATTAGCTAGGTATAATGGGGTTATTGACATTAGTTACTGATGATATCTATTTTCAACCTAATAATGAATTCTACAAACAAAATTTTGGTCTAGCAATGGGCTCTGCTTTATCTCCATTATTGGCGAATGTATTTATGGAAGATTTCGAAACAAATATTATTTCTAAACAAAATTTAGAACCCAAGGTATGGTGGAGATATGTAGATGATGACTCTATTCTCAATATGACTACATGGATCAGATTTGTTGGACACATTCAATAAACGATAAAGAAGAGACAATAACATTTACCATGGAAAAATAATATAATAACACACTACCTTTTCTCGATGTTATTATCTCAAAGCAAGATACTAGATGTATAGAAAACCAACACACGAGAACAGATATCTAAATTACAAATCAAATCACAACATCAAAATTAAAAAGGAATCATTAAATCCTTATACGATATAGCCCAGACTACTTGTTCTAAGGAAAATTCGTTCTTAGAAGAAAACCAATTGTTAACTTCTCTGTTATTAAAAAGTGATTATCCCTTGTCATTAATGAATAAGGAATTTTCAAGAATAGACCAAATGGAACAGAACAACTTAAAACAGGATCCTATAGCATTCACAAGAAATAATACAAGGAAGGACGAAGAATGGTATTTATAAAATAACTTGTTAATGCCAACATTTAGGTTAAACAAGACAGACAATTGAATGTTAGTAAATTAAAGAAAAATAAAAGTAAATTTTGGGATATTACCAATAAAGGAAGAAGAAGAAGTAAATTTTGGTTATAGAATTCTTATTTATTAGAAAATAGGTAATATCAGTACCTACATAAGTAATGCCATGTCAATAACTCTATTATAACTAATACAATTAGTCTTGTTCTAGTTGTCAATATATGATCATAAAATAGAATTTTTTTTAATATATTTTAAGTCTTATCTAATGGCACATTTTTAAATAAACTATACTCCATCTAATTTACTTACTGTTGCACGTCATTATCATTGACAGAGATCGAAGTTGACATAGTTGCCAAAATATAAAAAAATCCTGAATCCATTTTAAATTAAATAGGTCACATAATGATTGCAAAGGTATTACCATCTCTTTACAACGACTATTTAAATTCTTACGTGACATTTTTTAATAAAACACTAATTTTGTTCTAAAATGAACAGATTTTATTAAATAGGTAAACATATAAAACAAGAGGTATTCACTTTAAAATTCAAAATAATAAAGTACAAAAAGTGTCAACACCGCAACTGTCAAATAAGTGTTACCAATTTATGCCAAAATATCACCTTCGTTCGATTACAGTTACAGTGTGTTGCGAACAAATGTTCATAAAAACGATTTATACAAATTAAATGAAACATATTATTGTGTATTTCTTTAAGTTAACATTAATAGAAATCTTTAAATATTATTTCTACGCCTATATAATAAAATATGTCTAGTGGCTGTAATACCACTAGTGTCTAGAGCCTGACCCACTATTCTGTGCAGACTTGCGCAGTTCATTTGTATTCATTTCTGAATGTGTCGATGAGGTTTATAATATCTATTTATTAAATGATGAATAGTTCCTCGAAAAGCTCTGTTTTTTTAAATATTTTTTGTTGCGGATATGTTTCCAATAAAAATGTGTTATACAGAGTGTGATTTATGTAAATACTGATGCCAGCTTTATTATTTTAGGCGGAAACACAGGTATATTATTTAGTTAGTGGATCCAATACAAAATACAAACAACTTAATCGATATAATGGATTGCCATGCTTTTATTTAACTGTTTTTATTATACAATGTATTAAAGGCACAATCCCTTCTATATTAACTTTTAAATATATAGCCTTTAAGATACCTACTTATGTACATTCCGTTTCACACCTGGTAAAAATATAGGCAGGTTTCAGTTATTTGACATAATATCTATTTTAAAAGAATCTAGATACATATTTAGTATATATGTACCTATATGAGTACTATATACATTATTAAAAACAAGTTGAGATACGAAAATGAACTCTGAAATTAGGTATAGAACCTTTTAAAGTCATAAGGAGACACGCAGAGAGTGATCTATTCATTAACCACCCTGTATCCTAAAATAAGTTAATTAAAACTATAACATACAGTCTATCAAAGTTCTGGGAATTTTGTGCATAATCCAAAAAATTTATAATATACCTAACCAATTGATATATAACATCAGTCAACATCCTATCCTGTATATAAAATAACAAATTTTTATTGGAAAAAATGCGCAAAAAGTATTTTTTTAAAACTATTTTAAAAAACCTTTAATTTTGATTTGCTATTATTTACTATTAATTTTAGAGTTATTCTTATGCAACCAACAATACGCATAAACCTTATTGTCACATTCAGATATGAATACAAATTAACTGCGCACGTCTGCACAGAATAGTGGGTCAGGCTCTAGACACTATTGTAATACCAGTGTATTCGGCAAAGTGATTCTAAAAAAGAACACATCTACCGCCTAAATATTTCGTGTTGGTATCATGTGACCTTACGGGCTATGACGCGGATGACGTGCAACGGTAAGTAAATTAGATGAAGTATATTTATGTCAAAAGTTGCTGAAATATTATTTGAATTAAATTCAATATTCCATAATTTATTTATCCAAGAAAACTCATGGTAGGTACTAGAAATAGGTGGTATATTCGCTTTATGAACTTTCCTTACTCAGGTCTAATTAATTTTCTTTGATAATCTGTTAAATAATCTTTAAATTTGAATAAAATTGTATATAATTATTCTGTTTTACAACGGCTTTTTTGGATCCTTTGTTAATTTGTTACAAGGAACATCAAAGTTTAGACCTTTTGGCAGTATTAAACTCTCTAGTCTCTATTGCGTTTAAATTTCTACTTGATAGATTGACAACTGTTACTAATGGGGCTTTTTATCATCCGCCATGTTTTTCGTACAGACAGATTTTTGTAATTTTGAGAAGATTTCCGAAAATAGACAAAGTATAGCTAGTTATATCTTTACTAAATGCTATTTTTTTTCTCGATTAAAAAATTGTTTTTAAGTTCTTACGTATTAGATTTTGCTCTCACCTAACCGTTCCCTTTTTTTTGCATCTTTAATTAAATATCTTGTTTTCAAATTCGCGTTTTTAAAAACACTTTACAATTAATATACATAAAATACAAAGGTTAAAACTACAAATTAAAGCAAGTATACAGTAATAATAAATCGAAAATTACTGTTAATAGCTGTGACTGCACTATATTAATGAGTTGGACTATGAGCGGCTAGTTCCATTTAGATATCTCTTGGTGTTGATGTAATTCTTTTCTGATGATCTTCTACCCCACATTTCATTGTCTAGGATCTTCTTATTCTGTCGCGATACAACATCACCACATGACAAACACATCGAAATATGTGAAGCTTGCCCAATTGTGAGTAAGGCTTTTTTTTTTAATAGTTGGTATGGTATGGTTATGTTTGGATTTCCAAATATGTGAATTAATGAGTAACACGCTTTGTTACCATTTATCATTGACATTGCAAATTGACACAGGGGTAGCATTCAGACGCCTCGATGACAAGCCGCTGTTACATTTACTAAGCCTACTTTATTTCTTCTGGATCACTCAGAGGTTGCTTGGTCATGCGTGATACGTAATACTGACTTTTAATTAAAATTAAAAGTTTTGATTGATGTAAAAATAGAATTACAGTGGAATAATTATAGTACAGTTTGGTACTGAACGAGAATATTTATTTATAGAAGTATTTATGTAAATATTGAGGTTAGATTCGTCGAAACGTCAAACATGAAATGAAATGTTGAGACAAATGCATTCAGACGGTTTTTGTCTGCTGGATCTAAGCCGTTGATTACAACCACTAAAGGTCGATTCAGACACATCAGTCCCGTCATAGTCTCGGCGCCGAACCGGTCCTGTTTGGTCACAGAACTATCAACTATCTGACAGCTGGGAAATTGTTCGTCGCCTGATGAATGTGAATGCCGGCGCCATATTTCTATTAAAGAATATTTTGTATGACGGATTGTTCGGTTCGGCGCCAGGACTGTGACGAGACGTGACTGATGTGTCCGAATCGACCTTTAGCCTCTCTGTATTTAATTCAATTCCGAGATACATGAAGCTTTTTACTG